AGGAGTTTCTCTTGCACTCTTTGCAATTGCTGAATGTATTTATCCGCAGTAATCGTTAAATTTCACTTCAACAACTCGTGGTGACTTATACCTTCATAATCTCACCATACACGCAATAAAATCTATTTAGCTGCATCGGAAGTTACTTATGACTCGACCTAATATGAAGAAGAAAATTAAGACGTTGCCGTACACTATACAGTACTATATTTAATTAATCACAGATCATGTCATCAACTTATCAACTGATCAAAAGCCGAACCCAAAGTCACATACTACTAAACCCAAAAAGAATAAAATTCGATAAAAAAACAGCTACAGAAAGAATAAAATAAAATGCAAACGTGTAACTAAATATGTCGATAGAGATTCATGAACGAGAGCACTTTTCTGAGGTTAGGGTCGCGGGCAACAATCGTTTCGATTAAAAAGCGCGTGTCCCACTATTCATGAACCGTGGTCGGATGGCGTGATTCATCCACCCACGAGTTTCTTCCTCGAGCCATTCATTATTTCGTCGCTATTGTGAGAATAATGATAGAAGGAACGATACAACCGGAAGTCGATGTCAATCCGTGCGTGGGGTCTCCTCGATCGTGTGGGTCGTCTCTAGATAAGTATTTTACCTTGAACAATCTTTTCATTTCGTCGCCGTGTGAGAAAGTTTACGATTTGCTTTGGTAATGGTCATTGTATTTTTATGTCATTCTATTTTAGGATTTTTGGGTATTAATGGGTTCAATGATATTTGGAAAGTTGAATGATACTGAATGAGACTCTTCGGCATTTGAATATATGTTCAGCATTTGTATGCTTTGATAGACTATTGGATTGATAGATTGTTGGATGTATTACTATTGGATGTATGATGTTTCAGGTATACGGAGTACTGGATGCATGGAGTATGGGATATGTGAACTACTGAATGAGTGGAGCAAAGAATCGATGGACAACTGGATATGTGGAGTATAGAATCTATGGACCATTGGATACGTGCAGTATAGAATCTATGGGCCATTGGATACGTGGAGTATAGAACCTGTGGATCACTGAATACGTGGACAATTAGACATGTAGACCACAGGAAAAGTGGGCTATTGGATAGATGGACCACTGCATGTGTGGACTTTTGGGGTGCGTAGATAACTGAATGTATGAAATACTCGGTGCATAGACTAATAAATGCGTGGACTTTTAGGTGCGTGGATTATTGGGTACATGAACTACCGAATATGTGAACTGTTGGGTGCGTGGACCACTGAATGCGTGGACCACTGAGTATGCAGACCTCTGAGTATGTGGACTACTACATGTGTAGGCTACTGGGGTACGTGGACCACTGAGTATGCAGACCACCGAGTATGTGGACTACTACATGTGTAGACTACTGGAGTGCGTGGACCACTGAATGTGTGGACTATTGGGGTGCGTAGATTACTGAATACATGAAATACTCGGTGCATAGACTAATAAATGCGTGAACTTTTAGGTGCGTGGACTATTGAGTACATGGACTACCCAATATGTGAACTGTTGGATGCGTGGACCACTGAGTATGTAGACCGCCGACCACTGAGTATGTAGACCGCCGACTACTACATGTGTAGACTACTGGATGCGTGGACTATTGTGGTGCGTAGATTACTGAATGCATGGAATACTCGGTGTATAGACTATTGAATGCGTGAACTTTTAGGTGCGTGGACTATTGAGTACATGGACTACCCAATATGTGAACTGTTGGATGCGTGGACCACTGAGTATGTAGACCGCCGAGTATGTGGACTACTACATGTGTAGATTACTGGATGCGTGGACTATTGGGGTGCGTAGATAACTGAATGCATAAAATACTCGGTGTATAGACTATTGAATGCGTGAACTTTTAGGTGCGTGGACTATTGAGTACATGGACTACCCAATATGTGAACTGTTGGATGCGTGGATCCCTGAGTATGTAGACCGCCGAGTATGTGGACTACTACATGTGTAGACTACTGGATGCGTGGACTATTGTGGTGCGTAGATTACTGAATGCATGGAATACTCGGTGTATAGACTATTGAATGCGTGAACTTTTAGGTACGTGGACTATTGAGTCCATGGATTACCGTATATGTGAACTGTTGGATGCGTGGACCACTGAGTATGTAGACCGCCGAGTATGTGGACTACTACGTGTGTAGACTACTAGGGTGCGTGAACCACTGGATGCGTGAACAACTAGAGTATGTAAATTACTGAATGCGTAAACTGAGTGCGTAAACTACTAAATGCATCGATTATTGAATGTGTGAACTACCGAATATATAATCTATCTGTACAGATCTCTTAGTACATAGTCTACCAAATATTACCACACTCACCAAATAAACCCACCACTAATAAAACCGAAATTTTCCAGAATCCAGAAAAACGTTGCCTGACATACGAGCAGTTAAAGAAGCCAGCACGAAACAGTGATCACAACGACCAGTATCAAAAAGTAAATCACAGAATGGTGGACAGTGGGCCGGCATAGTCTTTCGGTAAAGAAACGACGTCTCGTGTGATTCACGCGACGCGTCTGCCTGTGCTCCTCGCAACGAAGACCGCGACCTATCAATAGCTGCTCATATACAGTGAAGAGGGACTGTCATTCCACCGAAGGCTAAAAATAGAGTTCGCGCGTCCGTCTATAAAGCTGCTGCTTCGAGAACTCCTGTACCACCGCCTCTCACTCTTCGTTCGACCATTCTTTCTTCCTCTCTCCGACATTCTTTCCTCTCTCTTCCATCTTCTTTCTTCTTTCTTTTTATCTTACCGTCTCTGTATTTATAGTTCCGCGCGAAACACTTCCCTGCTACATACTCTTCGTTCATGCTTCGATCGAAATGCGTCTGCATCAAAACTTTTGGGTATTTCGTCGATGCATGGGTCACTGGGACCCCAGGCATTCGGGATATGAGCTATGACGTGATTTGATGCTAATTTATATGCGAGATATTGCATTTTGGGTTCTTAGATTTTGAGTAGTTAGATTTTGGGTACTTAGATTCTGGATACTTAGGTTATTGATTTGTGTAATTGTATTATTGCATCTTTGGGTTATTGCAGTGTTTGAATGTAGATGGATCTTTGGATAGATGAACTCTTACATGGGTGGATTCCTAGGTGCATGGATCTCTGGATGGGTGGATTCCTAAATATATGGATGAGTGGATTTTTGGGAAGGTGAATTCTACGAAGAGTGGATTCTTGAATGGATGGATTTGTGGATGAGTAGATTTCTGGATAGGTGGATCTGTGGAAGGGTGGATTCTTGAATGGGTAGAGTTTTAAATGGGTAGATATCTGGATGGATGGAATCCTAAATAGGTGGATCTATGGATGAGTGGATTCTTGGATGGGTGGATTCCTAGGTGTGTGGATCTCTGAATAGGTGGATTCCTAAATAGGTGGATCTCTGGATGGGTGGATTTCTAAACAGGTGGATCTGTGGATAGGTGGATTTTTGGAAAAGTTAATTCTTTGAAAGGTGGATTCTAGAATGGGTGGATTTCTAGATGGGTGCATCTCTGGATGGGTGGATTCCTAAATTGGTGGATTTGTGGATGGATGGATTCCTAAATAGGTGGATTTCTGAATGGGTGGATTCTTGAATGGGTGAATTTGTAGATGGATGGATTTGTGGATGAGTGGATTCCTAAATAGGTGAATCTGTGGAAGGGTGAATTCTTGAATAAATAGATTTGTAGATGGGTGAATCTCTGACTAGATGGATTCCTAAATAGATGGATCTGTGGATGAGTTGTCATCTCAAAATCTTGTACCTCTCAGTCCCCTAAACTCCTAACTACCATCCTCCTCCATCCTCCTTCATCTTATCTTCGCAATCGATGACGTGAATCTTCCAACAACTAATCTAATGTCTTCTTCTTTGCAGAAACCTTGTACCCACCGTGTGAAGTTTAAGGTGAAGCCGATAAATCATCTCGAAAAGAAGAAACGTAAACGTGGATCTAAACGAGAGGCTAATGGCAGCCATCAAAGAAGAGCACGTAAGAACGGTAGCCAGTCAAGGACGGAGCTTATGAAGATTGGCTAAATTAAACTCCATTAGGACAGTCGTGGCCGTTTTGTCCCGACGATAAATGCATGCGCGACAGAACCCGTGTAACTATGATAGAGAGCATTAATTGAACCGCACAGAGCGACGGGCTCCGAATCGCTTTACGATTGACCCCGAATTTATTTCCACATTCTTAACCCACAATCAAACGTTCGCGGGTCACGTTATTAACCCAATGGTATTAACCCGTCTATGAATCAACCGGACTAAACTTTCGCTACGTCAAGTGATTCTTATTTGTCCTCGTTGCTGATACCCCTTTATCGATCGTTTTATATTTTCTATAAATCGTTTGTAATAACTGGTTTTACGACGTTTTCAACATACTAATCGATTATTAATCGGGCTTATTTCGTCTGGGTTCGTGGATACAATTTTATTGATGGCGAAAGTGTAGTGTGGTATATTTATTTTTGTCGAATCAATTTGTACATCTTATTCTTAATTTATTATAGTCGGTATAGGAACACACACCGAAAATTTGTAATATATTTATTTATAATTTTTAATATATCGTATGAGTAACTTGTATATCGTATGAGTAATCGTGTGAGTAACTTGAAGAAAGGTTCGTAGAGAGACTCACTGTGTATTCTAGCGTATTCAGAATTATTGTAACCTCTTTACGCAGTTGTAATAATATGCTCCTACGAAAGTGTCAAGCAAGGTGCGAACGAAATCTTGTTCCTCCCAAACCTTATCATTCGAGAATGTTTACACGAAATGCAAATTATATCGTTAATGATACAGTGGAGAGATAATAAAAAATATAAGAACCGAAAGATAATGATATAGTATAAGTTTGTCGGAACAGAAAGGTTAGGCCTTCACCTTTCATCGAGAAAGTCCGGAAGAGAACCACTTAAACTCAGCTAATTGGCTGTGGTAGTGCATTTATCCGTTGAAAATCATGCTCGTTAGTGCACGGAGTATTATTAGTGGACTGTAAAAAGCTGTCGGTGAAAAAATGCCCGATTTACTAACCGGGAGTTGTTCGTAAATCGAAGTTCGCTCGATCGTGACGATCTGCGAGGTAATATTCGTTGTAATTAATACGTGTAAAACACCGTATACATTCCCATTTAAGAGAAAAAGACATCGCCTTGAAGTTTCGACGGTTCCTGCTACGAGGTCAAGATTTATGTACGAAATAAAATGTCCTCTCGAAACGAGCCGAAACTTTCGTCCGACACGTTTGTCCGTGTAATTCGCGGAACGAAATGGTGTTCGACGTCCAAAGATCAAAATGGGCGCCGTGTTCCGAAAATGTCCAGAAATCGAGTTAAATATAACTCGCCGGTAACCGAGCATAAAATTTGCATCATTAACGGTGAACGAAGTCGTAAACTGAATATCGTTATTCTAAAAGTGTCCTACGCAATATCTTGATAAGTTTGCGGCCGATATTTCGAGACGGCAGGAAAAAGAAAAGGAAACGGACGATCAAAGGAACAGGAGAGAGGAGAATCAAGGTTAAAAAGTTACGGAAATTTTCATGCAAATGTTATTCAGGAAGTTTGTTGTCTCGTGGTCGAGAAACGTTGATCTTGACGGGAAAGGGCAAGAATATCGATGACGTGTGCGCAAGGGAGAGCGGCATTTATCGCTTGGTCGCGTATCGAACGCGAGACAACGGGGTTCCTCTTGCGAGACAAGCATGCAAATGATCGACCGACAATTCGACTAATTTTATTCGTAAGACAAATTCCATATTACAGCTATTAGTTATTTATGTGGGAGTGTAATATATTTATGTATGGTTTGATGTAGAATGTATGTATAGTTTATCACTGTGAAATTGTGTGTATGACTGCAAGCGTGAATGGTGATTAATGAAAGAAACGTGAAATGTTGTGCGCCGCGAAATACAAATTATAATATTCTACGTATTACAATTTTACTACGTTTAATAGTTCCATATGTTATTGTACTCTTATTGCGAGTTAATTGTTGTGTTCTCTTAAATAAAAGGATAGTTATTAAAACTCTATTCCTACACTTACGACTGCCCCGACAAATAAATCATAGAGCAAGGGATTAAAAATATTAATAAAAAAATTATGTATCGTTCGAAATAAAATTTTTAACCACGCATTATTTTGTCAGCTCAAATAGCACAATGGCACATAACAACGTCTAAGACTCATAAACGTGTCGGTAAGTTTTTGACAGGGTTTAAAGGTCTCGCAATGACGTGTCACGACATAGCAGTAAGACTACGGACTGGTATAAGGCTAGGCTGATATATGCAACAGTAAAGTAGCTCACAAGGCGGACGCCAGTCTGTCTCGGCCAGAAATGGGATTAGGAAGCACGTCAAGTATCTATGGGTCACGTCACGTAGATCGAGATTTAGTCCGTGTCACGTCGATCTAAAGCACCGTTCAAAGAGCAATGCCGTTTCTACAGCCTTCTTAGAAAAACCGACTCAGGAACACGTGGATTAGATCACGTGTACACTCTGTGAATAATGGATGCATATCTCTCTGTGCGGTACGGGGATATACTTGGAAATTTGGGATTTAGAAATTTAGGGGTCCAGATGTTCAAGAATTTAGAAATTTGGAAATTTATTCTGAGAAAGGCTATTTCTACTTATGGAGTTTATAGGGTACTAAGGATATAGAGATGTAAGGGGTGTAGGTATATAGGTGGATCTGTGGATAGGTGGATTTTTGGAAAAGTTAATTGTTTGAAGGGTGGATTCTAGAATGGGTGGATTTCTAGATGGGTGCATCTCTGGATGAGTGGATTCCTGAATTGGTGGATCTGTGGATGGGTGGATTTTTGGAAAGTGAATGCTTTGAAGGGTGGATTTCTAGATGGGTGCATCTCTGGATGGGTGGATTCCTAAATAGGTGGATCTGTGGATGGGTGGATTTCTAGATAGGTGTATCTCTGGATGGGTGGATTCCTAAATAGGTGGATCTGTGGATGGGTGGATTTCTAGATAGGTGTATCTCTGGATGGGTGGATTCCTAAATAGGTGGATCTGTGGATGGGTGGATTTCTAGATAGGTGTATCTCTGGATGGGTGGATTCCTAAATTGGTGGATCTGTGGATGGGTGGATTTTTGGAAAGTGAATGCTTTGAAGGGTGGATTCTAGAATGGGTGGATTTCTAGATGGATACATCTCTGGATGGGTGGATTCCTAAATAGGTGGATCTGTGGATGGGTGGATTTCTAGATAGGTGTATCTCTGGATGGGTGGATTCCTAAATTGGTGGATCTGTGGATGGGTGGATTTTTGGAAAGTGAATGCTTTGAAGAGTGGATTCTAGAATGGGTGGATTTCTAGATAGGTGCATCTCTGGATGGGTGGATTCCTAAATAGGTGGATCTGTGGAAGGGTCCACCTTCTATAGAGATATAGAAATTTAGAGGTATAGGGATGTGGAGGTATCGGGACATAAAGGTATCAAGTTGTGGAGGTATCGGGACATAAAAGTTTCGAAATGCAGAGTTACAGGAATACAGAGATATCAGTACATTGAAATTTAGGGACATAGGGTGGTTGGTACATAGAAATTTAAGGATGTACAGATATCGGAATATAATTTGGGGATACAGAGATCAGTACACTGGAATGCATTCATCTACAGATATCAAAATATAGAGATCTAACAGTTTAGAAGTTTAGAGACCCACAGTCTGGAGATCTATGGCTCCAAATACATGGCCTAAGGATTTAGACATTTACACTACCGTCCATAAGTATCCGGACACTTGGTTTCGTTACATAAGACATAGTTGAACTTTGTACGAAAGGTATTTAGAGTTATCATATCATTTGTAATAATTATTATTATCTTTTTTGCGGTGTCATAACGTAATAGAATTAATTTTTAAGTACAAATTTGTGAATCTAATGAAACGCTTTCGATTCTAAAAAAAATTTTCATTTCTACTGTGTTTCATTTCTATGGTGCAGAACGTATTCAGAGGGTTCTTCGATATGTTTCAAGTGTTTGTAAACTGTTGGTAGATGTTTAGGTTCCCTCAATGGAGATAAGAATGGAGGTAACGCTACGCACTCGACAGTTTCGGTTTAGTTCGTCTGTAGCTTCTTTTCCATCGAGATATGAGTTCCAAACGAGAATTATCAATCGAAAAACGTTCCAGTATTCTGACCTTCGCAGAAAAAAAATCGATTTTAGTTACTGTTGCAGATACTTGAATAACTTTCATGCAACGCGAATAAATATTTCGCTTGTGTCCGGATACTTATGGACGGTAGTGTAAATGTCTAAATCCTTAGGCCATGTATTTGGAGCCATAGATCTCCAGACTGTGGGTCTCTAAACTTCTAAACTGTTAGATCTCTATATTTTGATATCTGTAGATGAATGCATTCCAGTGTACTGATCTCTGTATCCCCAAATTATATTCCGATATCTGTACATCCTTAAATTTCTATGTACCAACCACCCTATGTCCCTAAATTTCAATGTACTGATATCTCTGTATTCCTGTAACTCTGCATTTCGAAACTTTTATGTCCCGATACCTCCACAACTTGATACCTTTATGTCCCGATACCTCCACATCCCTATACCTCTAAATTTCTATATCTCTATAGAAGGTGGACCCTTCCACAGATCCACCTATTTAGGAATCCACCCATCCAGAGATGCACCTATCTAGAAATCCACCCATTCTAGAATCCAC